TGTTGACGGATTAAGATGCTTTGCAATGAAAAATACAATATGGGGTGTAAGGATCTAAATTATTTGACGGAAACTTTTATCCTAGTTACTATTTTTTTCTTCTCATAATATTTTAGGTTGTAATTCTTTTTAAACGAATACTTTAAAAAATTTCGATAATTTCAATCCTGTCCAAGTAAATATTATCATCGTGTTAAGGAAGCATAAGAACTTGAAATTGAAGCATTAACATCGCTCATCTGTCAATACTTTTACTTCTCCATCAATAATAATAAAATATATTATAAAAACTAAATTAATTTATTAATTTTTTACATTCATAAGCAATTATTAATTCCTTATGCTAATGTCGAATTTGAATCTTCAGCTAATCGCGGCCGATAATTTACGATAAAAATTCAAGAATAAATAATCGAGAAAGAAGACAAAAAAAACTAGATTAATTTAATATAATTAAAGACAATTAAGTATAAAAACGTTTCCAGCTTTTCGGAAGATTGATGTAATTAAAATCATACTATCGTAAATACCTCAAAGCATTCCATGCCAAATTGAACCCTGTAAGGTTTCACTCCACTTTCTATTTCATCGGCAGATGGAATCTAATCAGGAAGCTGAAAAAATGTTGCTTAAATCGCTTGAAGATCCTACCAGATGTCTCCCACAATATAAAGTCAAAAGGAAATAAAGGATCTCCGATATGAAGGGAGAAAATTGTTTCCGATAATCACTCACCCATTTATTATATCGATTGTCGTAATCTTGATACCCGTGAGCTATCTTTTGAACAACCAACAATGAAGCCAATAGCGAGTACTTTTTTGTACTTTTACCTTAATATTTCCAGCTTTGATATATTTCTTTATTTTGAAGATTTGGTCGGCGTGGCTATAGTTTACGTAACTGGCTACAACGTATATTTGTTCCTTTTTCTTCCTTTTTTTTGTACTTCGGACGTCTCTGCAACTGAAACAACACTTTGTAAAATACTTTAATCGTATCGATTAATTTTATTACCGTAATTATTCCTATTCATACGTTAATGGTATGGATTTTTAAAAAGATATTGAATAATCAATAAAATAATATTCAATCCACCAGTGATTTGTAAAATTAAAAATATCTAATTTTTACAAGCAGTTAAATTTAATTATTAATTTGTGAAACATCAATATAAATCTTTGTATAGTATCAATCTAATAATATTTTATAATAATTGTAAAATTATTATGCTCGTGTAATTTCATGATTAGGTTAATGAAACATAAAGCATGAATACAGTTTATTTCTTAAATATTATATATTTTTCGTTCATGAATATTTACTCGAATCTTAATGTCCATAAATTAATTGTTTTGCTTCTCATTATTTAATAATTAAAATGATATATTTTTAAAATTTACGCTAGGTATATATGATATTTTTATAATAGCTAAGTTGAACAAATTTCAAAATTTTAATTTAAAAAATTGGATGTCATAATAGATTATAGAAACATTCGAGTGATTTGAAAATTTATGTTAATATTATTTTACTTGTACGATTTTTGATGTTTACGTATACAACGATTTTATTACAAATTTAAATTTTAGCAGATGACTGATGTAATTTAATTTTGAAGTTTTGTTATTAATAATATATATATATATATATATGTGTGTGTGTGTGTGTGTGTGTGTGTGTGTGTGTGTGTGTGTGTGTGTGTGTGTGTATTGAAGAGTTATCAATAACACGAATATTCTGTTTAACATATGAAAAGAATTAAAATTTTCGACTTTTAGTAAGAACCAATTGTGAAATTCTATACATTTTACTATGGGTTGGCTAACTATCACATAATTAATGACGATAAGAAAAAATGTTTTGAATCTCTGTTTAATTATCAGAATGAATTTTGTCCAAAGTAAAAATAAAAAATATGATGAAAAAGATGATATAAAAAAAATATACAAATGCATGATAATACAAAGTTCTTCTATTTCTGTTTTGAGATCCGAGCATTGAAATTTATTGGCTTAGCCAAAAATTTGAAAGTTCTAGCTTATCAAATATTATGTTGAGATTGTCATTAAAGATATCCATGTCAAATATTTCAGTTGTAAAGTGAAATATACTTAGATTGTTTTTAATCCATATAATTAATAAATATAAGAGTATTTTCATCCGTAACAGCGTTTTTCATGTTAATTTTTTTTATTGCCAACGTAACGATGATAACATAAAAAATTAACTGTACAAAATTGGACTAGAAATGCTATTACCTGAATCTGTCTCTCTCTCTCTCTCTCTCTCTCTCTCTCTCTCTGCCTATTTGATTGTCTTTCTCATTTCTCTTTTTATTGTGGTTCATCGTAAATAACGCACTCAGTTGGCGGTGCTCAGTGCGGGTTGTATGCGCGGTAACGAATTACCATAATACCCTCGTAAATTATGGTACCGCATCGCTCGCCATTCCCCACATGATATCGTGAAAAAATCGGAGAAAATCCTCTAAAGTGTCATTTTCCAGAGGGATCGAAATTTGGTCGTAGTACTACATGGATGCTTCTTCGTTGTTATCAGTATTTTTTTTTTCTTTTTTCCTTTTTTTTTTACTTTTTAATGGTCCGTCGTATATGTCATTTTCGAAGTATTTAATTATTTATTGTCCATAAAGCTGGAAGTTGAAAATTTTTAATAGTTTCATTTAATTCCTTATATACTCGCGCTCACGCGTACGCACCAACAAAACAAAGAGAGGGAATCACGATCTAATGAATTTAACGCCGATCTTAATTTATGTATTTACATGTATATAAACCGATGTGCATATTGCGTAGACACAGCATAGACAGAAATACTAAATATAAAACGAACATTGGTAATTCACTTCGCGTGATACTCATTATAACTATTAAATTTGGTAATTGTTAAATGAATTTTAAAAACGTCATAATTATTGTATTATGAAAGTGAATAAAAAAAGGATGAATGTGGGTCTTTTGAATGATAGAATGAAATTATAATATTAATAAAATTTACATTGTAACATTTTAATAATTGGAAAATTACGAATTTTGCTTTTAGACTTTATTAATTCATAAGAATCCATAGTTACGATTAAAAGTAATAAGTAATTTATTGGATCTTGATATTATAATTTTTGTTGCTGTTATTGCTCATCTTCTTCCACTGCTCCTTCTTCTTATTACCATCATTTTTATCATTATTATTTTTATTATCATTATCATCATCATAGGAATAATATTAAACATTGAAAAGTAAGTTACAAGAATTTTAATCTTTATTTTTCATTACATAGAATCCAATTTAATATTTTAATTCATACGCATATAATTAAAGATCCCGATATCCTATAATTTTCATTATTTTTTTACATTTTAATTTTACATTTTATAACGAAAGTACCTAATATTATTTATTTAATACCATTTATTAAATTCCATATATATATATATATATATATATATATATATATATATGCAATATTGCTTAAATTACCGAAATAACATTGTTTTATTTCATATACGTTATCGCAGTGATTTTTATCTTCGTCTTATTTCAAAACTTGTATTTGTAATATTGATCGTTCATTATAAACCATACAAATTACCCGCGCAAATTGAAGTGCAATCTTTCGTCATGATATTTTAAATTTATATAAACAATTCTTTATGTAAATCATCAATGTTTGTAGTAAATAGTTTGGTGAAATAAAAAAAAAAAAGAAAAGTGAAAAACATTAATACTAAGATTTTATCTTTATTTTACCATTATCTTCATTTATAAATAATTCATTAACAAATAATGTTTGAACTCCTGAAGTGAATGAAAATATATTAGTCTCAAATAATCCAAGAGCTCGCAAAAAGTGAAATGCACTTTTCTTTATCACATTATTTATATATTACATGCATCATAATACCGCATAAAATAAATATTGCATAAAAGAGGAGGGCTTGCCTATTGGACAATTTACCAAAAGACATTATACTAACGAACTTCTATTTTTCTCTTATTTTTCATGTCTCCTCTGCTGCTCTTGATTACGTCTGTGAAACGAACCCGACATATCCAAAATCATCAACGACTGATCTCGTATGCTG